GATGTGGTTAGTGTAATGGAGAAAAAATCAATCCATTCACATAGGAGTAGAACATATAGGTTCTAATAGACATGTATTGGTTTAATTTTGCATGAAAAACTTCGGGTTTTCATGGGTGATATGTTTAAGAGAAAACTTCGGGTTTTCAAACAAGGCATGTTTATAAGAAACTTCGGGTTTCAAAGTAATTATGAACTTCAGGTTCATATATTCCTGCAGGCAAACACAAATATATATGCAAATAAATATGCAACAAATATATGCAAAAATATTGTATAATGATAATTGAATTAAGTTATTTGGACTTCGGGCCAAAGTAAAGTGTGGGTGAAAAAATATATAACCCATTGGGCCTAAAATAATTAAGCAAATAAAATTCGGGGTACAAACAAAAAAAACTAAGCCACGGGTGACTTGAAAAAAATTTGTCCGTACTACCTAGGCCCAAAAATTGGGGTAGGGGTCTCAGGTGTAGGCTGCAGGCCTACGGGGAGGGGGCTGGGCTGCTGCAGGCAGTCCAAAAAAAAAAATTTCCAACACGGGCTGCTTCAGGCAAGCCCAGAAAACAAAAACAAAAGAAAAAAAATTTCTTTTTTATGCGGGCCGCTCCAGGCGAGCCCAGAAAAATTGTTTTTTTTTTTTTTTTCACGGGTTGGTGGGAACGGATAAAACCGGGCCAGGGGATTGGGCTGCAACATGCAAGCCCAATCGAAGAAACTGCTGTTGTTTTGTATGTTCGCGGGCCGGTGAAGGAAGAAGGCCGAGAATTAGAGCCCAATAGGTCTCGGGTAGAGTCCAAAAGGCATCCCAGCCGTAGCTGGGTGTGTTCACCGGGGAAGAACACCGGAATTAGTGGACGGCGCCGTGTCAACCGGCGTTTCCATGGTCGGGACAAGTCTGTAGGTCTACGAAAACCACAAATATGAACGGAGATTTGAAAAAATCTTGATATTTGTTGTGAAAAACCCTATAATTTCGAATCGAAATCGTGGAAAACCTAATGAAATTTAAACTGAAATTTCATACAAATTGGATGAAATTCTTCAGGAATTTCAGTGAGATTGGATCAAAGATCATGATTCCATGTCGGATTGATGCAGAAAATCACACGGCAAAGCCATGGTGTCGCTTAAAGCGATGTGGATTTTCTGGGTTTGGGACGCCATAGGCGTCGGGTTTCCAACGGGGTCACGGGTTCGGGAGCCCTCATGGGGACTCGGTGTGTGACTCACAGTGTGAAGGTGGTCTGCAGGCCATCCTATGATGGTGGTGGACGCCGTGGTTGGCGTCGGGTTGTCCTGGGTTTCGACCTGGGTCTCGGCGTTTGCGGTTAGGATGCAGACTACAGGCCTGGTGGCTTGCAGCCTTGCATGGTGCAAAGCACGGGTTCGAACAGAACCCTAGTTCCCCAATTCCAATATTTTTCCAATTCAATTATATACATATATAATTTAATGAATCATATATTTACTTTGATGCATATGCAAAATAATATTTTCAATGCATGTACATATGTAAGATTCAATTCATGGCAAATATCAAATTCACATAATTGTAGCAACTTTGATTATGAAGCATACACAATTTATGTAGAATCTAAAATACGTAAAACGTAAAGTTGGGTCATGCATCATGGTGAATGTTCATGCTATCAGGACTTGCAAAATATCGAGTTAAAAACCGTTGTTTGGAAAGAACCTGATTGCGTGATGATATGGATGAACTGGTTTGATGCAGAAAAATTCTTCAACGTCAGATTCCTAAGCGCAGCGGTAGGAGCGTGCTGATAACGTGTTGTGGTCTATTTTATCTGACAGAGAGACTAGCGCCGGCGGTAGAGAAAGAGAGAAGAAAGATGTGTGTTTGTAGAATTGTAGGGGAATGTGTGTGTTGTTATCCCTCCTACATTGTGCCTTTATTTATAGTAGTAAAGGGAGAGAAGATATTCCTTCTCCTCCAAGTAATACAAGTTGTAATAGGAAAGGATAACTAGAATCAAATCTAATCTAGGATTTACACAATCATACTTATTCTAGGAATGTTTACAACACAAAACAGTTTTTTCTCCCAATTTTCATTATCAGCCTACTAAATCATATAAAACTCTCAAATATTACCAAGCCGTTCTCAGCGAGACTGAATCCATTTCAATTAAACCAATTTATAGCATAACCCATGAAAACAAAATCCTTTACCATTCTTTTTATATTGGAAAATTTTTAACTGAATCAGAATGGGGATTGCCCCTCTACTAGACAAAACCTCTTCATACCTATCATGTTCTCATCCCTAACAATCATTATAATTATTTTGATTATATTCAAGCATGGACTAACATTTTCCTCAATCAAACAGAAGACTTTAGTCACTCATGGTTTATCAATTTTGACAAAAGTTTCAGATTAAATTTCCCAGCATGGTTTCCAAAATGATGGTCAGTTCATGGCCCGACAACCAGCCTTTTACCAGAAGAATTCATACAAGTCTTATCAACTGGTTTCCAGCAAAAATTTGACAAAAGCCGATTCAATTACAGGATTACACTTTTCCCATTGTTCATGGCCAAGTACAAAGTCCCGTGGATAATGAAGTGGAATTATGAAGTCGAAACCGGTGAAGTCTACCGATCAAGATCAGTCAAGTGGTGGGATAAGTTCAATCATCAGAAGATCATCAATCTTGCCCTCTCAGAATTTCCCGTCGCTCCGGTTCCAGTCATCCCAGCATCTCAAGCTCCAGCTATTTCAGCACAACCAAAAATGGCATTGCCAATCATTCCAGAACAATCTCTATCAGACATTAGTCCTTCATCATCCCTCAAATGAACAACCAAGTCATCTAAATCCACGAGTTCGAAGAAGAAAGAAAAATCATCTCAGCTCAAAGACTTAGCCCAACAGCTAATGGCAGAAGCAGCTTTACTCCACAATGAAGATTCAAAGTCTTCAGATGCATCATCACAACAACCAGCTAACTCAGCAAGTCAGAAAGCCAAGTGGGTAGACTATCAGGATTCCCAAGACCCGTTTGAATTATAATTTACCCATGTGAATAAACAGTTGCTCAGCATGTGATTCCAATACGAAAAATGTCGACATCAACACTAAAAACAGTAACAATTATCAACCATCATTCTAGAAAAGACACTATTCATGAATAGTAAAATCACTTTTACTGTTCATACATCATGATATTCTCAATTATGTCTGTGTCATTCAACAGTCATCTGCTTTTAACATCTTTCCAACTCATAAGATAGTCGGGTTTCCCGCTTCAATTATCAACCATTTTCATTCTATTTAACAAGCAGCCTTGATCAAAGGAAAGAGGCTGAAACTTCTGTGTATTCTTCAACAACAGAACAGAAGCAAATATTCAGTTTGTAATTTCTCAATTTAAAAATTGTAAACACTTTTAATTTAAAATCAAGGATGCCTGCATGCACTAATATCCTTGTTTTCATTCTATTTTGCTGACTTAATCGTCAGTAAATCAATTGTAAGTCGTTGTGTAAGTTTTCAATAAAATTTATTTCCAAGTATATCTGCATCACCACTTTGAATTCATTATTTTCATTATGAAGAATATTTTCATAACAACTGATTTTGAATGGCATAAAATTCTTACTCACAGTCAATTCATCGAGTATCTCAAATTCAAGGTAAACACCGATCAATCATTTGTTCAATTCTTTCTATTTGTTTATAATAGTTGGTTTCATGGCATTTTTAATCCTGATTATTTTCCACATCAAATTCCTCATGATTCAATTAATCATTCATTTTCCAGTTCATTCAATCCTAACCATCATTGTCGTTGGTATAATTGCCCTCATCGTTTTTATTATCACTAGTTCCACTCCATTTGGTATCAGAGCCAAGTGAGTGGTAATTTATTATCACTAGTTCTGCTCATCGTATATATATATATATATATATATATATATATATATATATATATATATATATATATATATATATATAAAAGGAAAGAGATCAGTGTCTTTCCCTGCAAAAAAAAAAAAAAAAAAAAAAGATTTAAAGCTGCCCAAACCCAGGCATTGCCGAGGAAGCCATGCTTCCCAAACACAGGTCATCAATGCCTATGTCCTGAATCCTGATCACTAGAGGCAAGGTCAGTGCAACCAGGTTGCTTGCTCCCAAGATCGGCCCCTCATACTTGCAGAACCTGTCGACTTTGGCTTCTCATCCGCCTGCTTATTACTCAATTTGTAGTGTGATGGGGATCCATCCTTCTTCCATGCCTTTCGTGGTTGTTCACCAAATCCTCACTGACAAACACCCTGGGGAATAATGGTTTGCCGTTCACACCAATCCAAGCAATCAATTTCTAACTCGCAGCCCCAAATTGGTCTGCAACATTCGCATAAAAAAGGGTTTGTCGTTCCAGGACTCATTCTGGAAGAACATGACTCAGCCCGGTGCTCGGCCTGAAATTGGAGGGGTCGCGCATCCGATTGGACGGTCCACTGCAGAGGCTCTAGAATTCACAGAGGAAGACGACGGTGTTTAAAGCCGTGGGTTTTGTTGTGAAAAAAAATTGTTCAAGTTCATGCCCATTATATATTAAAGAAAGAAAATTCTCACAGAAGTCAAATCCTCCAAATTAGGAAAAAAAAATACCGATTCAGGAAAGCTTTTCAAGGGTGGCGTGTTTCCTCACACAAAATTAGGAACGAAGAGCTTAAAAAGCTTGAATTGTTCTTACTCAAAAAACTTGAATTGTTGTTAAAACTAATTTTTAAGAACATTTCTTAGAAACAGTTTGTTTTTTTAGATTTAAAAAACGTGTTTGGCATTGAACTAAAAAACTATTTTCGAATCTAAAATTTTGAAAACTTGTTTGGTTTAACTCTTAAAAACAGTTTTTTTTTTTTTCAATTATGTATTTGTTTTAAGATATACCAAACATATAAAATTAAACCGTAAACTTATTATTTTGATATTCATGTGCTAATACAACACATATATGCTCGATAATCAAATTAAACTTCAAATGTCAGACAATAAATATGACATTAAAACATTCTAGAAAACCAATAAACTTTGTGACTAATTGTTATTGACGTAATCAAGCCACATTGATCTGGCTATGTGGTCTCTAACATCATTCATAACATTATAGTCATTCAAATGCATGTTTTCCCCTTCTTGATTTGTCCCCGAGCTTTCTTCATCTACCACATCAACATCATTGTCTTCAAATTGTTGAAACAATGTATCATTCCTTGATTGCATTCTAATGAAATTGTGCACGGCACAACATGCAATGGGAATGCGTCTTTGCTTCCTAATTGGATAATTTGGCATCAACTTTAGAATGGGAAAACGATTCTTAAGCACTCCAATACATCGTTCAACAGCATTACATAGTGATGAGTGCCTAAAGTTGAACAATTCCATTGCTCCTCTTGGACGTTTACCTCTTCCTCTAAAATCACGCAAGTGATAACACACTTTGTGATATGGTGCAAGAAACCCACTCATGTTGGCATAGCCGGAATCAACAACATAATATTTTCCTATTCCAAGAACAATGCATATAAGTATGTTACTTGAGCCAAATACAATAAGAAAAAAAAATACAAGTAATTTGATATGTTTCAATGACTCGTACCTTCTTTAGGCATTGGAAACCTATTCACTTCTCTTGTTATTGCATTCATCAACACTCTCGAGTCATTAGCCGTTCCTTCCTAAATGAACATGCCAACATAATACTTTGTATTACACTAACATTTCTACCTCAATATGAATTTGTTTCGATAAAGGAGTCCATGCACTGATATGTGTTCCGATATGTGTTCCATCAATAGCACCAATGCAATTCTACCATTTTATAGTTCAAATCATAACATGTTAGTACACAAAATATAGTTTACTTCAACCTAAGTTGTTATTCTAGAGCTTTAAACATGTATCTTTCTAGGTTTTATAGAAAAATAATGATCATAATCTAACTAAATAATAAAATGTACTTTATAAATATATTACCTAAAACCATGGGTCGTACTTCGGATTTCCCAAAATCTCAAAAGGTGTCGCATCTATATTTGGAGGTTGAATTAGACGAGTACCAAGTCGACATATTGCTTTGTGAACTCTATTAAATTGTCTTGACACAATCTCTTTAGAATGCTGAAACATTTCAGCAATTACCCTATTCTGGATTGTATGACTAATAGTAAACAAGAATATGCATACGGCCTCTTCCACACAAATTGATCTATCATCTTGTAGAAAGTTCAATTCTCTCAATGTCGAGCACAAATTCTTGAACGTGCTTTTATCCATCCTTGAAATATCAAATAACCTATATGGATGTCCATTCAATAATTCTATCACATATTGGCAGCCTGAAAAATGTGAAGTCATGCATGGCTCTTTATTTAAACGTGAGTAATGGTCATACAATCTTATAACTAAAAGCAACTCTCTAAGCGAATCATCCAAATCAGATGATGAATCACTTTCTGAACTTGAACCATTGTTGTCCACTTCATTTGAATCCATCATATATAGACAAACAATTAATTATATTCTACAACTATCAAGTAATTAATAGCTAAACAAAGTGACAAGACAATACTATAAGATAATAACATAACATTAATCATATTACCAACACTAGTCATTTCCATACTCATTTAATTATAGTTCATCCTAAAGCAAAAGATCTCAATACCAAACACAAAAGCATATCCATAGTCATCTTACTAACCCTTATAATTAATTCTAAGCAAATTCATCATATTACCAACACACTAACTAACAACCAACTTACTAACTAACTATTCATTTTAGACTATTGAGCCATAATTTTTTTCCTCGACTCAGACATCATCATAAACATCCTCCACCAATCCAAGCTAGTGAACTTCTCCAAAGCTTTCAAATAAGCAGTATCATCAACATCTTCCATGTCCTCAAGTACTTCCATACAATCTTCAAATGTACTTAACTCTCTCAATAGGGAGGATACTTCCCTCTCTGTTTTACACTTAACCTTTTCCAATGTAGCCTCAATCTTGGCATCAAGTGACTTTGCCCAAGCTGGAATACCTTCGTCCATTTTGGTTGACTTGGATGACTTTAACTTCGAGGAAAGATCATTTGGAGGGAAAAGAGCACAACGCTTGGTACTGGTTCCTTCATGTCCCTCACTACAAGCCTTTGAACCACTTCCAATACTTTGTCTAATGTGTGCACCAGTGGTAAGAAACCCAGCTTCTAACTCTCTCTTAGAATCAAAATTTGGAGGAGAATTGGCTGATGCATACTGCATTTGACCAGTTGCAGTGGTATTTTTGAAAATTTGTCCAAGCACCTCTGTTTGGGCCCAAAATAATAGTTTGGGCCGAGTGTAGAATCATTCTCGGCCCGGAAGGCCTTGCGACAAGAAGACCATGGATCGTTCAGCTTGTGGGCTTCCAAACCTAGGCCGGTTAGGTCAAAATGCAATGATAAGCCGAGTCCTGATACAATAGGGAGTCTCGGCAGGATTAACAACCTAGAAGCGGATAGGGCTCGAATAAGGACTAGGTTCACAATCCTAATGAAAATAGGACTGGTCGAGGTGATATTGATCCGGAGAGGGAAAACCTAGTCCGAATAGGATTCTATCTCAGATTCAGGGTCCAGTGCTATAAATAGCGGAAGTTGTGCATCAGAAAAAGCCCCACAAAATCAACACAAAATTGCCCTGCGCAAACTCTCACAACTTGAGATCTTTTTCTTTTCCTTTTTCGCTGACACATCTTCCGTTGGCATCAACAGCACTGTGGAAGCAACCGGTGATATCTTAAGTCGGCATAGATAGCTCTGTCACCGTAGAATTGGTCGGTCTCGCAGTATCTTCCGTTGGCATCAACAGCACTGCGGCGAGAACGGTCAATTACCTATCCAAGTCTTGGTCGAGAAGGGTTTTCGAATCCTTATTGGTCGAGGTCATCTCATTAGCCTTCTCGGCGAAGTGAGGTGTTACAGTTATTACATTCGGCACATTGAAAGCCGAATTCGGTTCGTGAACTTTGTAAGAGTAGCAGCCTTGTCTTCAGGCTCGAGAACCCAAGAGGCCGAGACGTGTTCCTTTCTCAGCCGCAATCGCAAGACGCAAGAACGCAGAAGTCAGTAGCGCGACCCAACGCAACATCATCAAATTTACTCCTCGGCCGAGCCTCGGTCGACGAGTTGGCACGCCCCGCAATCACCGAAGGACGTAGTTAGCTTAGAATATACTCGGCCTGCGCGCCACGTAGGCTTTGTAATTTCTAGGGTCAACATTTTGGCACGCCCAGTGGGACCCAGTGCTAAAACTACGAAGTTCATGCCAATTGAAACGCGATCGGTAAAAAAGAAAACAGCTATGGGAAAATCAACAGCCGATTTACCGATTCAGAACGTAGGACAAAGTGTGCCACAGGCGCAGAATCCCCTTAGCGCCGGGACACCTGAGTCCACAAGTGCGACTCGCCGAGAGAGGGAAGTTAATCTCGGCGGTCAACACCGCAGTCTAGAAATCCCTAACAGGAACACCTGTGTTCTCAATGAAGGGATAGTGGAGGATTGCGACGAGGATGGCGGTGAAGGATCTGACCCACCAACAAGGTCGTTTCTTCGAAAGCGATTCGACGAGCAGTCTCGGTCAGTCGAGCAGACGTTTAGCCGAGGTATTGACAAGCTACATGACGTGATACTCAATTCCACTGAGCAGCAAACCAGATTGCTCGAAATGCTGGTTAGTAAATTCAGTGACGGCAGGCCTTTCGATCCTTTCCAGCGCTTGCCACCAAGAAATAATCCGTTACCAATGGTACAGGCCGAGCCAATTCCTGCTCGGCCCAAACCAATTGACTTGGAAAAGGTCGGAGGGTCAAATAGTAGGTCGGACGGAATCGACCAGAGGGTCGAAGCAACACCTGTTGATATGACCGAGGTTCAGCGGATGATCGACTCGGCCATGAAGAAAGGGCCGAAGTTTCCTAAGTTTATCCATCCGTACCCGGCCTACATAGAAACGTTCGGATATCCGAAAGGTTTCAAGATTCCAGATTTTAGCCTTTTTGCCGGTGAATCGTCCTTGTCTTCGTTGGAGCACGTGGCTCGTTTCACCGCGCAATGCGGCGATGTTCATAGTGATTTCCATAAATTACGGCTGTTCAACTTCTCGTTGACCGGCTCGGCATTTGCTTGGTATATCAATCTCCCTCCTAATTCCATCCAAAACTGGGAGGAGTTGGTCGAGAAATTCCACGAACAGTTTTATCGACCAGGGTTGGAGGTGTGGGTTTCTTCATTAGCAAGGATGGCTCAGGCATCAGATGAGTCCCCAATGGATTATCTTACCAGGTTCAAATCAGCCAGGAATTGGTGCCGAGTACCCTTGCCCGAAGTCGAGTTCGTCCGGCTTGCTTTGAACGGCCTCGACGTCGAATACAAAAAGAAATTCTTGGGGGCAAATGTTCGGGATATGTATGAATTAGCCCAACATGTCGAACAGTATGATTATTTGCTCCGCGAGGAAAAGATTTCGAAAATTCCGTCTCGGGGGACGATTTACAAGAATCCTACTGTCAGTTATGCGTCAACCGAGGATGAATGCGTTAGTGTGGATGCGGCTGAGATAGTAATAGATAAGCCATACGTTTGCAAGGCCTTGACTCAAGTTGACTCCAGGGAAGTCAAAAGCCGCTCGGCCACTGAAGGAACATTGAAACCGTCAAAAGTGTATACTTTTGATATTACAAAGGCTGACGCAATTTTTGATCAACTGTTGTCAGCAAGGATTATCAAACTTCGGCCTGGTCACAACATTCCCAAGGCCGAAGAGCTTAAAGGAAAGGTGTATTGCAAATACCATAATTCAAGTAAACATACGACAAACAATTGTGTCGTATTTCGAGACAACGTCCAGAGCTGGATTGATAATGGAAAACTGAAATTTCCAGAGAAGAAGATGAGTATTGATGCTGATCCTTTCCCCACAGCAACCGTGAATATGGTCGATGCATACCTACCTAAGGACAAAGGAAAAGGGAAGGCCGAAGTTGTTGCGACGCAAGGCTTTCGGACTCAGAATTCTCGGCCACGTTTCATGGCCGATTTTCGTTCGAACAAACCACCTACAGCTTTAACAGGACCCGCTATTGTTAAACCTATGAGGGATTATAGCACCGATGAAGATAGTGGGACGGCGGTTTTTTGCAGTAAATGTAGAGCGAAGGTCGGCAGTGAGCCAGAGGAGAAACCATCTTCGCCTATCACAGAACGACCCACGGCCGCAATTCAGCAAAAAGCAGCCGGCGTCGGCCGACCTCAAGGGGTTTTTGATAGGCTCGGCCCAAAAGTGAAGATGGAAGAGACATCCTCAGTCAGGCGGCGCCTCGATTTTGGCGCTTCATTTTATGACGAGGACTATTATACACGTAATTCTAGTAGTTCGGAATCGTCGCGGAGTCAAAAAACCTTCAAACCTCCCGAGCCTAAAGATCAACGTTGGTACACATATCATTCTTCGAAAGGCGTCTACACCGCGTTGTCCAAATCCCAGAAACGCCGGCACCAGAGGATAGATTGCATGGCCCGTCGACAGGCAGCCCAAGAAACTTCGGTCCCTAAATGGCGGCCGAAGGACACAGTTGCTACTGGTGATGAACGACCATCTCCAGCTATTATGACAGAGTTGGGTCAGGGGAAA